GTAACTATGGGGAGGAAGTGGGAGGGGAGCTGTTGCATTGTGGTAAATTGTGGTCAATGTCATGAGACAAAGTATATGTGAACTGCTGAATGAAAGTGAATTTGTTCTGTAAATCTTCACCCAAATCACAATTTAAAAAAAAGAAAATAATAATAGTAATTTCATCAGTTAAGGATTTTCAAATCACATTCTTAAAGTTACAGAGCCATTTAAACAATTATTTTGGTCTGGCTCCATGAAGCATCTTTCGAAAATAATTCGTTGAACGTGTGTGTGTGTACATATGTGTGTGTGTGTGTAATTGTAATGGGAAATGTGATGATAGAAATCCACCCTAATAAGCATTGAATTTTAAGTCTGAACTCAAGGTAAAATCTGCAGTGGTTTGAAGGCTCCCATCCATTAGTGTTGCATTATTTCCATGGTGCCTTTCTTAGTGGTCCAACCCCATCTTTTCTACTTTGTAAAAGGTTCCATAATATGCCAGGAATACGTTTAAAAGAAAAAGTGTATGATGCAAGTAAATTGCTAGAGTTTAATGACAAAGCAAAACTTAGCTTGTTTTGCTGTTTTCAGAAAACATTTTCCTAGCTCTTGCATTTTTGTATAGGTATAGAAAAGGGCTGGCAGCTATAGAACAGGAGATACGCTGTAGCAGTTTGAACTGAAGTTTTTGGAATCTTGCTGATGCGTGTGTCATCAAAGCTGTACCAGGCCTGGGAAACTGAGTTCTTGCAGAAAGCAGTGTAGTGGCCACCATCCAGGTCACCAAAGTGGTTCTATGGGGAAAAGGAGTATCAGGCTTAGTATTCACATGTGAATGCTATAACTATTAGAACAAGAAAGATAAGGTCAAGAAATATTTTTTTTGTAATTTTGCAATTAAGGAGCTCTGGTGGTGCAGTGCCTAAGGCATTTGACTACTGTTCAGAAGATTGGCGATGCAAACCCACCAGCCACTCCATGGAAGGAAAACAGGGCAATCTACTTCCATAAGGATTTACCACCTCAGAAACTCACTGGGGTGCTGAGTCAGAATCAATTTGATGGGAAGGTTTTTTTTTTTTTTTTTTTTCTGAATACTAAATTAAAAAGAAATGATAATGTTAATAAACAAAATCATACATATGACCTAACTGCTGTATTGCTTTTCATTCGTTGGAACTGTTGATATATTATTTCCATTGACTATTTAATAGAACCTGAATGAGAGAGGACAATATTCGGCAGCATATGACTAATATTTATCAGTTAAACTTACTGAGCATTTACTATATATATATATAGGAGCTCTGGTGGTGTAGTGCGTAAGGCATTTGAGTGCTAACCAGAGGGCTGGCAGTTCAAACCCATCAGCCACTCCTTGGAAGGAAGATTGGGCAATCTACTTCTATAGAGATAACCTCCTCAGAAACCCAAGGAGGGGTCGCTATGAGTCAGGACCAACTCGATGGCAGTTTGGTTTTTGATTTACTATACATACAGACTATTAACACATATGGTCATCATGAGTTGGAATTGACTCAACAGCAACTAACAACAACATGTTAGGCTTCAAAGGAAATTTTTAAATAAGCAAGAAGATAGTCATCTTTTGTAAATGAATTTACAGTTTAATTTTCAGGCCGGATTAAGACATTAAAAAGACATTTAAAATTGGAAAAAAGATATTTAAACAACTATGTACTGCTATGACACAACTTGAAGTTGTGCAACAATTCCTTTGGTCATCTAGTTTCCAAATAAGAACTCTGTCCCAGAAAAGGAGACATTGGAGAACCTCACTTCCTGGAAGGTATAGTGCAAGGGCTGGTAAACTGTAACCCCTGGACAAATCTAGCCTGCTGCCTGTTTAGGTATGGCCCAGAATTTTTTTTAAATGGTTGAAAAAATCAAAAGAATATTGTTTTGTGACACATGAAAATTGTTAGAAATTCAAATATCAGTGCCCTTAAAGCTTTCTTGGACCACAGCCATGTTCATTCACTTACGTTTTGTCAGTGGCTGTTTTCGTGCTACAATTGGCAGAGTTGAATAGTTGGAACAAGGACTGCATGGCTTCCAACGCCTAAAATATTTACTCTTTGACCTTTCACAGAATGTTGTGTGTTAGCTTCTTAGACCAATGCACCCAGACTGATGCCAAGACACATGGAGATCTCCAACTGACACCAAGCCCACACAGGCTGAAAGGAGACGAAGACCTTCACCCAGAGCCAACAGAGAGACAAAGCCTTCCCCTAGACCTGCCATCCTGAATTCAGGCTTTTAGCCTCCTAAACGATGAGAGAATAAATTTCTGTTTGTTAAAGGGCCTGGCATCCCTTGGAGATCTCCATGTGTCTTGGTATCAATTTTCAGCTGGTCTAGGAGGTTCTCAGTGCAGGGACCCTGTGTCCAAAGGAAGTGCTATGCTCTTGGCTCCTCTTTCTTGGTAGTCTTCAAGTCCCTCTGACCTCTGCTTGCTTGTTTAATCTCTTTTATATCTCAGGAAAGATTGGTTCAAGATTAAACCTAGTCCTGTACATTAGCGCTTCCAGATTAAGGCAGGCTAGGAAGAAAGGCCTGGCAGTCTAATTCCAAACATTAGCCAGTGGTAACCTTATGATCACAGCAGAATCCTGTCCAGTGCACTTCAGATACACCATCAGGAGGCATCAATCACTGGAGGAGGACATCGTGGTTGGTGAAGTGTAGGGTCACTGAGGGTGAGAGAGACCCTTGGTAAGATGGATTTGCATAAAATACCCACAGGGATGGACTCGAACACACCAGTGATCGTGAGAGTGATGCTGGACTGAGCAATGTTTTGTTCTGTTGTACATAAGGTTGCTATGTGTCATGTCAACTCGATGGCCGTTATCTGTGCATGTATCTATTGAGATATTATTTAATTTCACACTTCAAGTCAAGTATGGAAGCTGAAGTTTTAAGGGTAATTGCTGAAGAATCTAAATAAAATACACAGCTTCCAAAGTTTTAGAGGGAAAACAGACTAAAGAAAACTTTTATCAATTTAGTGTAAAAAAAAAAAGACGGGAGATGACTAGAGCAATCAGATTTATATAAAGTACAAAAAATGACAGAAATAAATCCAAATTTATTAATAGTTTAACTATATGGAAATGTATGAAACAGCATACAAAGATTGACAGACTGGATTAAAATCCAGTTCTATATTGAAAGTCCAGTTCTATATTGAAAAGGTTGAATTTAAAGGAATCAAAAAAAAAAAAGATACAGTAGGCAGATATAAGCTGGAGTAGCTCTATAAATTATCACCTAAATGGACTTTAAGACAAAAATTATTATAAACAAGAGTCACTTTATAATGAAAAATGTTTAAGCCACCAAAAGGTTATAATTCTAAACTGCAATGCACCGTCATAGATTTGAAAAAACTGACAGAATAAGTAAATTCTGACAAATTATCTTCATAATGGAAGATTTCAAGGATCTCTGGTGGCATAGTGCCTAAGGCACTTGACTGCTAACCAGAAGGCTGCCGGTTCAAACCCACCAGCCACTCCTCGGAAGGAAGGTTGGGCAATCTACTTCCGTAGTGATACCGCCTCGGAAACCCAAGGAGGGGTCGTTGTGAGTCGAATCGACTCGATGGCAGTGCGTTTGGTTTGGAAGATTTCAGTATGTTTCTTTCAACTATCAATTAGACAAAAAAATAAATGCAGCTTTTAACAGTACAAGCTTATTTTACTGCACATAAAAAATCTGGCTCCTATTGAATAGAATACACAAGTCTCAGCAAATGTAAAATAATTAGCTTCATACAGACCATATAGTCTGTGAACACAACACAGTAAAATTAGTCAATACAAAAAAAAAATCCATATACTTTTGGAAATTTAAAAAAAGTTCAAAATAACTTTTTAGAGTGAATAAGAAATTAGAATATAAATTTAAAATACTTAATAAAATACGAGATGTACCCCAGCACTAATAGCAAAGTTCAACAAGACAAAAAGTAACAAATGCTGGTAAGGATGTGGAGAGATTGGCACTCTCATACACTGTTAATTGGACTGTAAAATGATACAACCACTGTGGGAAGCAGTATGGCGGTTCCTTAACAAGCTTAAATTAGATTTACTGTTTGATCTGGCAATTCCATTACTAGGTATATATCCTGAAGGAGTGTGAGCCAAGACACGAGTAGATATATGCACACCCACGTTCACCACAGCACTGTTCACAATAGCAAAAAGATGCAAACAACCTAAGTGCCCATAAACAGAGGAATGGATAACCAAACTGTGGTACATACACACAGTGAAATACTATGCAACACTAAAGAATAATGTAGAATCCATGAAACACCTCATAATGTGGATGAACTTGGAGGATATTATGCTGAGTGAAATACGTCAATCACAGGACAAATACAGTAGTCCGCTATTGTAAAAAGGAAACTTTCTTTGTTGGTTACCAGGGAGGGGAGTGGTGGGGAGGGGAAATTGCTAGGTAGGTAAGAAACAAGTATTGATTTGGGTGTTGGGAAAGGCAATATGCCAAAAGCAAGCAACCAAAACAGTAACACTAAGGAAAAGGAAGACACAGAGGTGCACAGGTACAGGCAACAAAGATAAAAACGTTTACATATACAGTCCTGCATTATCAGTGCTAACAAACAATCTATGGGTAGATACATAGGTGAACAGGTAGAATGATTAAGTATGTCTAGGGAAAAGGAAATATATCCATGACCATATGTAAGGTAGGCAGATGTGATTTCTCCACATGTATTTGTGTTGTAAGAATGCCCTATAAGGGATGGACACAGGGAAGAGGTAACTATCAGGAGGAAGTGGGAGGGGAGGTGTTGCATTGGGGTAAACTGTCAATGTCATCAGACAAAGTGTAGGTGAACTGCTGTATGAAAAGTGAATTTGCTCTTTAAACTTTACCGAAATCACAATATAAATAAATAAATAAATAAACAACAA